TCCAGTGAGGGGGAACACAGGTGTACGTATATTCCATCATATCAGAATAAGACAGAACCAACTGGAATTTTAACTCGATTTTTATATTAATAATTCCGATCAATTATGCATTACATTACCCGCTTATCCAAGGTTACAGAACATGGTATTCCCAAACTATTAACTATCTACCTACTGGCCAGACTTGACTGTTCTTAATTTCGGTGAACGTACCTTAACCAATGTTATTTTCTTATTTAAATTTCATTGTTATTTCAAGCAGGAAAATAATTTTAGATGGTAAAAATTTGCAGAGGGGGATAATAATGATTTAGTGACAGAAGTTTTTTTTTTTCTAATTAGTCCATAGCTGAGTGAGATCTTTCTCAAGGGTTTTTCACTGAATATAACTAATTAAAATTGGAATTGGACCTCGACTCTGCAATTAACAATTCTAAGCAATTATCTATTACACCACCCGCACATCCAATCTTACGACATCTGTTATTCCCAAGAGGTCACCAATCTAGGTACTCGCGCTCGATGTTGCTTAACTTGATCGTTTCAACGTGACGTGGCCGAAATCTAAAATGAGATCCTTTCTAAACTAAAATAGAAACTTTTAAAATCTCAGAGTAAATAATGAAGTTTGTACATTCCTTTAGTATCTAATTTTTTAGTTTGATAGATTCAGCTACAACGCTTAAACATAAACTTTATGCATGGAAATAGTTACATATTCGATCGAATAAAAATTATACGGTTAAACTAATCTCTTACCTTAGTATTTCATTGCGTGAACTATGAATATTCATCTCTAATTAGGCCTCACCTTCTTCCCATTTTTAATATATATATATATATATATATATATATATATATATATATATATATATATATATATATATAGGAATAACCAAATAAAATTCAGTTTGATACGCTACACATATTTACACATTCATTTCAGGTAGTTTCCTCGCTCTTACCCTCGACATCTCTTGTCTTCAACATTTACTGTGGATTCTCCAAGCCATGCTTCATGTGTTTTACTTCTCAGAAATATCAACGATCTCGTTCCGATTGTAAGTATACTTTATCTCGCCGGTCCTTTTTTTTTACTTAACGTTTTCCGTTGCCCTATTTCTCACTTTATGCTTTACATAATAATCTGTACATAAAACCTCTGCTGCCTTGAGTCTTTTCATCACCTGCGAGAAAATTATCAAGCGTTCAATGCCATATAAGAAGCTATCACATAAATGCACAACGCTCTTTTCTATATTTCTAAATAAATTTTCCTGTCTCTATGTTAAGATTTTCGAAGGCATCTTCAGCTATTTTAATGTGCGTTCGCATTTCTGCATCACGTTTTCTATCTTCATCTCCACCATAAAATTAAATCCTATTTCTATATTTCTAAATAAATATTTAAATTAAATCTCATTTCTATTTTTCAAAATAAATTTTCCTGTCTCTTAATTCTTTGTTAAAATTTACGAAGGCATCTTCCGTCATTTTAATGCGCGTTCGCATTTCGGCATCATATTTTTTATCTTCATCTCCACCATAAAATTAAATCCTATTTCTATATTTGCTTCATTCTAATGTCTCCAATTCAAAGCTCGCACGTTTGACTCTTCAGCCTTCCAACCACCGACTATCTTGTCTTCTTTCTGTACATTAAAAGGGAACTTTTGCATAACTCTTATACGATTTAATATTCTCTGTAACCATTTAACGTGTATAGATTATAATCCCGAAACGTAACCTCGATTGTTGGAATCCTGAAATTTAAAATCCCGAAATTTGAAATCGCTAAATGTCAAAATCCCGAAATTTAAAATCCTGACAGATTAGAATCCCGAAAAAAAGTCTTTGGGAGATATTGATTTTTTTTTTCTTTTTGAATAAGAATCTCTTTGGAGAATCCGTCTCATTCGTTTTCTCTGTGCTGCTGCTATATTTGAATCTCTCCAATAATGCGATACACACCAGCATGAGTACTGCCTACTACATTTTTCCATTGTCTATGCTGTGGAATTTCATACAGCAGTCCGAGTTCTTCGCTGGCTCATCCTTGACGGTCGCGATCGTGTCACGACTGCATTGAAAAAGGGTGAACATATCCTGTAATACATACTGAGATTGGGTAGAGTGGGTTCCTTGGACGGCCGACCATTTCCCTCCTTATTAAGGTGGGCATCACCGGCCGGTGCCTGAAGCGTGCTTCACATCTCCAGACTACAGCTCAAGAGGCATTGAGATGTAAAATAAAAAAAAAAGCTTACAAACACAATGCTACTTAAATGCTACTTCCGACGTGAAACACATCTGTTTACATTCCATTCTTTTTTTTTTATGTGCCATATCATTTCAGGAGGTAGGCGATCATGGCTCTCCACCTCCCTGTATCCCTTGCAGATCCCAACAAGTTCCTACCCTCTGCTTCCTTCCCCAGACCACGTTCTGTCATCCACTTGCTTAAGTCCGCCAGGTATGTCACGCGTTGTTTCCCTTGTCCCTCCTTCCCTCTATTCGACCCGTGAGTATCAGATTCTACAGGACCTCCTTTCTCACTATATTTCCCAGAAACTTCAGCTGCCTCTTCCTGATATTAAGTATAAGCCTCATCCTTGTTTGGAAACCTCTCTAAGATCTCATCGTTGCTCACACGCTCGGTCCACGATATCCTTAGCATCCTTCTGTCAAACCACATCTCTGTCGCCTCGAGTCTCTTCTTCATATTTGAGGAAATCGTTTAACATTCGCTGCCGTAAAGAAGGACAGATGTCCCGCAATAGTTCAGTATTCTTTTCTTTAGTACCAAATATATCCTCCTGTCTCGTAGTACTCTGACCAAGTTTTGGAATGTATTCTCGGCCATCCCAATACGACTACAGATCTCAGTCTCGCACTTACCGTCCTCTGTCAAGACGCTTCCCAGGTATTTAAACTTCCGCGTCTGCTTGATTCTAGTGTTTCCGACTTTCAGATCGCATTTCCGGCTTATCCCCTTACTGATGACCCTGTACTCCGTACGTCACTGATAACGGTCGTACATAGCGCGTTGTATATTTGGTTATGGATATAAAACAAACGCTTTTAATACAACAGTGAAAATCTGACTTGTAGTTGAGAACAAAAATCGCAGAGACTAACACTTCTACACACAGGGGAAAAACAAACAAACAAAGAACAATACTCTGTTCAGTAACAGCTTAACCACCGAAGCTTCTACCTCCCCTCGTTGGCAACTAACGAGGGCAGGATATCGCACGTGCTTTCACGCGTGGTATGTAGAAAAATATATTTGTATGTGTGTGTGTGTGTGAACTTACAGTTATTGTTAAAACGAAATCCACCTGGGCATCTCAGTTTATATTTCATGAAGTGTCCAATAATTCCTTAAGAATTGATACTTCGTCAAGAAGCGATGTGGTTTCTCAATAGATTGATGCGTAACGATAGGCGATATCGAAAGTCAAATCAGCAAGCCCAGTTCAAATACCAGACTGGTCTGTTGTGTTCATTTCCCCCCCTAAATATCCTTGGATTCCTTTTCTTCTCATCCTCGTGCCATGTATTAAATAGCTGAGTAAACATGGTTCTGTAGTCTTCGTTGGGAACCAATCAAATAGAAGATTTCCAGATTCTGAACAGTGGAGAATATAAAGGAAGATTTCTCAACTATCCTACCCAAGAAAGCATGCCAATTCACACATATTAAAGAATAGGAAACTGTGGAGTATCATGAATAAACATGTTATGGAGGTATTGTCATTTTTGTATTTTTCTCTCACAGACGTGCCGTTTCCTCCTTCTGTCTTTTTTACAAATACATTCACGGTTACTGCGCCGATGAACTGCTTTCGCTGGTTCCCAAACTTAATGAATTTAAGCGTTCTACTAAGCTGGCATCTCGCTCACAGCCTTTCACTGTCGAAACTGATAATGTAGCCGTCTCTTCTACGCCAATAGCTTCATGTCTTGCACTTCTCGCTTGTGGAACACCCTCCCCTCTTCCTGTTTCCCTGATAGCTATAATCTCCAACTATTCAAATGTAATATCTATCGACGTCTCCAGATGCCCTGATCTACCCCCCTATTCTTCTCTTCATCCTTTCCTCTATCATTCATATTTGCTCTAGCTCCAACTCTCTGTAATCCCTTGCGTGCTAGTGGCTTCTCGCCTTGCTTGGGGTGAAACGCTTAAAAAAAATTAAAAAATAAATAAAACACTCGAGAACTGTTACGATTGAAGCTATCATCAAAACTCTCTGCTAAAATATAACTATTTTTAAAAAAATACACGAGTTGAATGAAGTATCAGTGATTTAGTCAGACGTGTCTAAACTTTACAGTTAATCATTTCTTATCACAAATAAAATGGCGAATAATATCCACCCAAGTTCTGGCATGTGTGTTAAATAAATCAGAAACGTTCACGTTATGTTCCTAGACATTAAATATATTTTATTCGTTTCGTCCAATCGATGATGAAGTTCTGCTATTAAAACAGTTTCATCATTCTTAACGTACAATTATAAGACAGAATGTCTAGTCATTTGCAAAAGCGTCAGCCAAATATGCGAGCTACAATTTGGCGAAGTCAAATAAAGTAAGTATAGAATGTTAACTGCTTGGGGATAATAAATAAGTAGATAATAATTAATTTTAGTAATCAGTGGAATAGCAAAAGATTCTACCCAAAATTAAAGAAAATAACAAGAAACAGGAAAATTTGGATAGAAAAAAAGATATTATTTATTAGTAGACTACCTTTGATCTGTTGGGTCTTTGACGGTCCAGGCTGTTAAACATTGAAGTTGATTTCAATATTTAAAAAAAAATAATGTCTGAAGAAAATTGAAATAAAAAATTCTCCCTGTATAAACAACATGTATTTTTAAATATTATTCACATAAAAATTGAAAATAGTTTTTAAATAAGGTAAAAATATTTTTTAAATATTTCAAATATTGCATGTTTTAAAAAAAGCAGAAATATAAATACGCACGCACGCAGTCACAGAGAGATGGTAGAAAGAGAGAGGGAGTGAAAAGAGAGAGGGTGGAAAGAGAGAAGGTAGAAAGAGAGAGGTGGAAAGAGAGAGGTGGAAAGAGATTGAGATGGCTGTAAAGAGGGAAGTAAAAAGAGAGAGAGAAACGGGTGTAAATAGAAAGGAGTGGAAAGAGAAAGAGAGACAGTTGTAAATAGATGGGTGGAAAGAGAGAGATGGGTGTAAATAGACAGGTGAAAAGAGAGAGATATATACGGGTGTAAAGTGAGAGGGTAAAAGAGAGAGGGTGTAAAGAGAGAAGATAGAAAGAGAGAAGTGGAAAGAGAGAGGTGGAAAGAGATTAAGATGGGTGTAAAGAGAGAGGTGAAAAGAGAGAGAGAAACGGGTGTAAAGAGAAAAGAGTGGAAAGAGAAAGAGAGACAGTTGTAAATAGAGGGGTGGAAAAAGAGAGAGATGGGTGTAAATAGACAGGTGAAAAGAGAGAGAGATACGGGTGTAAAGTGAGAGGGTAAAAGAGAGAGGTGGAAAGAGAGAGGTGGAAAGAGATTGAGATGGCTGTAAAGAGAGAGGTGAAAAGAGAGAGAGAAAATGGTGTAAAGAGAAGGGTAGAAAGAGAAAGAGAGACAGTTGTAAGCAGAGAGGTGGAAAGAGAGAGAGAGAGATGGGGGTAAAGAGACAGGTGAAAAAATAGAGAGATACAGGTGTAAAGTGAGAGGGGTAAAAGAGAGAGGTGGAAAGAAATTTTAATCACGATGCGCCCGACGGCCGACGTTACATGATGCACAGAGTGTGAGCACCTTGAGGTGGTGTAATGGTTAGCAAGCTTGTCTCGGTACAACAATTATGGCTGAGTAGTGAGTTCATTCCTCACTGGGTGCCCCTTACTTTCGGCCTTGTGCCACATCCAAGCTACGCTTGGAAAATCACTACACGATGCGCAGAGTTTTATTATTACATAGATTAAATATCTTATATGGCAATGAAGTCTGGATAAATTCTTCACAGGTTTAGCGGGAACTTGACGCAGCTGAGATTGGGTTATGCAGAAAGAATCAGAAAATAACCTGGACGGAACATGTGTTCAAAGTTTAAAGTTAATTGGTAACGAAATAGTCACTTATGGTTTTATTTCTTTTTACCATTACCTTGTGTCACACTAGAATATTATTGCTCATAGCTTTTCACTATTTCGTGTACTTTATAGCTCTTAGTAATTTTTTCGGCGTTATCGCCCCTAAACTAGTCTGGCATCCATTTTCACAATTTTGTTAGACAGCTTATTATCTCTTTACTTCATGCGTTCTTACCGTCAATACTTTCTGTGAATGACAAATTTTCCAAAGTCTTCTTTCATCATTATATGCCCCTGAAATTTCAACTCTTTTTTTCTGCATTTCCTAGATAGTTAAACTGCTCTGCGTGTTTGAAGTTGGTATCCCCAGTTTGTAATTCACATTTCGAGATATCCCTTTTGCTGACAACTATACGTTCTCTCTTCTGCAAATGATTTTAATCATTCATCTTCGCATTCCTTCACTAACTTCCGTAGGATATCTTGTAGTTTTTTTTGTCTGTTATTAACACTGTCATCTACATAACTTACATTGTTAAGATTGCAATTGATATATCCCGACAAGACTTCTAATTCTCTTAGATTTATCTAAGAGAATTAGAAGAGAATTATCTAAAGGTGGAATAAACCCTTTGAAATGGCACATCCTTGTCTCACCCCCCTTATTATCTTTGTATATTTACTGAATTCATTTCCTATCCGTATGCTGACGGCTTACACCGATTATAAGTACTGGGTTATTCTAATATCCTTCTCAAATATATTATGTTTACCCAGCAGTTCGACTAGTTCTTTTCGACGTACATTTTTAAACACTTTTGCATAATCTATAAAAAATAGGTATGCATTCCCTTGCTTTTCGTTTTTTTTTTCTTTTAGTTATTATTTTACACAAAGTAAACATTTTAGACATGTTAAATAATCCGGCCCATATTCTGAAAAGTGTGTTTGATAAATCTGAAACGCTTACGTCATATTACTATGGTGATAAAAGCTGTTCGATTTACCCCCACCTCTTTATCGTAACTCTTCAACACCTATAACTATAAAAGGTGTCTACACGGCGGCCATGTTGTAGCTCAATAAATCTTCAGTAAGCTCTTCACTACAAGTCTGTCTTTGTTCATTACAATTATTATATAGTTTATTTTACAATGTATTTTATTCATCTCATTCAATCGATGGTGAAGTACCTTTTTGGTTCAACATTATTCTCGATAAATTACATTACGCCAATCAGAATAACGTCTAATTGTCCTTAGGTTACCATTAATCTCAACAGTTTCATCCTCAGTTAAAGAAACAATAACTCAATTTGATTTAATAGAATTTTATACGTGAGTTTCGGCTATGAAGAGAAAACAATGTAAACACCAAATCTATTAATATACAGAGAAGTGAAATATTATAAACCTTTTTTGCGTCTCGCGTTTGCAAATCAATCATAATCGGAACTGACTTCTTGTCTATATTGATACATTTTTCAGATAACTTCATTGTGGAATAGGGATATCGACTAGGGAGCGATTTTATGATCATTTTATGCAAAAAGTGGGGATTGTATTATACACAGTTAAATTTTTTTTTGAAGAGGTTAAGAATAATTAATTTCGGTGATCGGTCGCACTATACATAGGTAATTATTTTTTGGAGGTATTAAACTTAATGCAAAAAAAAAACAAGAGTCGGACTAAACAAGAAATCGGCTTATACACGAGTATATACGGCATTTGTTAAGGATTCTGGCTCATTACGGACATACTTGTTGTCTTATATCAAAAAAATAATCTCCTTTTATGCGTCGTATCCGTTTAGGATGTGTTTGATTATGTCTCTCCAAAACTTCCCATCCTACGTAGTTTTTAGTAATGTTTGTCTTTTTACTATTCATTCCCTCCCTGTTCTGCCATCCGTTCACAATAGTTAGACACGTAAATTATTCAATGCTTTCTTCTATCCATCTTACGTTCATTACGTCCTGTGAGTGTTAAATTTTCCAGGCCTTCTATTCTCCTTACTTGTCCTAGAAACTTTAACCGTCTCTTTCTAAATGTTTACTATAATTGTCCTTTTCATTTCCTTTTTTTCCTAATATTCCTTCGTTGTTTTCATGGTATTCTCAGCACCATCCCAATGACAGTGTGTCATTTCAAGTAGTTTTTTTTTTATTTGTGAGAAATTCTTTCTGCATCCATTGTCATAAACGAGTATTAATATTACATAAGAATTTATGACCATTTAATTAGTTTCTAACGAAATTTATTTTGTTTAGTTTTTGGAAGATAACTTTCACTAATGCAAAAGATAACTTTTCACTAATGTACTCTCCGGTCATTTCGGTATCACGTATTTTTCTTAATTTAAAAAATTCCCAGATATTTAAACATTTTTACTTGTATAGTTGTGACGTCCCCAATTCGTCCCTCGTATCTTAAATCTTTGCCTGACGAGATTAAATTCTGTTTTCTTACGATTGATGACCAGTTATTCCTTCCCAAGTTTTTACTTCTTTTGTGGGGTATTCATTCAGACTATAGGAGTAGTGGTAGTAGAATTTTAGGCTTGTTTTTAAAAAGAGAAAGACAGGAAAACACAAATGTGTACAATACAGACAGGGCATGAATAATTGTATGACAATTACATACAATTTTATTTATGTATTTATGTGTATAGTTCAGTGTGTGTTTTACGTTACAATTGTGATATGTTCATGTTATAAAAGGGAGTTAATCCGTATTATCACAAGTCCTATCTGAGATGGAAATTACACACGTGTTGTCATCCCGACAGTTCTTGGGAGAAGAGATTGACTCTCACCTCTTTTGGCGGGATGTCCCTATTTCCGGCAGGAACAGTTTTTGTTTGTTTTGCTTTGTTTAATTTAGACAACAATGCTATTAAAGAATGTGATTTTTATTACCACGAATGAGATATTCTATTGTAGCGACGGGGTTACCAATATTGTAGCGGGTTGTCACCATTATATAAGGGTGTGTACTACATATATTTAACTTTGGCTAGGAAAGGTGGGATTAAGGACAATGCGTGGGCGCAATGCAGTTTATATTTGACGTAAATAGCACATAGTATAAAATACAAAACAGAATGTAATGATTCAAAAAACATAACAATTGAATTTATTAATGTACATGCAAATAAGCTGAAGGTGAGATAGAGTTATGTCTCTTAGATTTGGAAATATTTGTACCTGAGCTCATAAAGTAATTATTAAACTGTAGTTTAGAAGAATAGGTTTCCTTTAGCATGTTAGGAAATGTGGATTGTAAACCTTGGTAAGAGTTCAGAAGAGGTTTTAGAGTTCGTACTTGCGTGAATGTTGATAATGGTCTTTAACGTCTGACTACATGGTCAAGACGGGAGTTCTTGAAAGTTACATCTTGGCAGCAAGGAGAAAGATTAATGAAAAGAAACACGAGGGACATTACACGTTTTTTGTTTATATATGGCTGTGAATCACGTGGTAGGCTCAGAGCATATTGAGCGGGAAAACAGATCTGTCGCATGCAGGCGGTTTGATTGGTCGGAACTGACCAATCAGCGAGCTAGTCTTGAGGAGATCAACCAATGAATGCTTGTCTATGTACCGTGTTTATGTAATGTGGTGGTGGTTAGCATAGAGGAAGAGTGCATTTTCCAATGGGGTGTAACTGGCAAATGTGGAATCTTACACACTGTTGTTATGCTAGGAGGAAAAATTTATTGTCAGGAGGAGAACTTCTATTGCCTTAAATACAGAGCAGCTGTTTCTTAATTAATGATAAAGTATTAATGCTCATTTTGTACTTATTACTAAGAAAATTTCAAGATTACACAAACCATTTCCATCAGGCTATGTGTCTATTAGCAAAATCGTCAGACGAATATGCGTGCTACTAATTGTTGACATCGAAGTAAAACGTGTACAGAAATTAAACTAGTTTGGACGTTTTATTACAGACGATGGAATCTATGATAGAGAAATCAGAAGACATATAGGAATAGCGAAACGCCTTCCAAAAACTAAGCAAAAATATTAAAAAAAAAAAGAAAGAATTCTCAATGGAAGCCTAGATAAAAACATTCACCTATTACGTGATACTCATTCTGTTATATGGCAGTGAACACTGGACAATTTCCTCACAGATGAAAAGGGGTCTTTAGATGCGGTTCTCAGAAGAATTCCGAAAATAACATGGAGGCGCAACCTGAAAGTTTTAAGGTATATGGGAACTAAAAATTTGAAATGCTTTACCTACAAAACAAGGAAATAGGGTTTGGAGAATTTGACACGCAAAAGACATGAGGACAGAGGGAATCTGTGAGTAACATAAATGATGTTGTAGCAGGGCAGGTAGTGAGAAAAACAGTAAGGTAACAATTATTGCGTATGGCGATGAAGGACAGAAAGTTGTGAAAAGCTGTATTCAGCAACAATCTTTAAGGGACACAGTCAATAAAAGAAAGTAATATGAGCGAATATAAATTAAAAAAAATATTATAACCATCAATTCTCTACTTACTCTTTCAAACATTTTAAGAAATGGATAAATTTCGCTCGAAACAAAGAAAAGTATGAAGACCTGATATATGATAACAATCCTTCTATAAGAAAATGTGATTCAACAGAAGGATGCTGAGAATATCATAGATTGAACATGTGGGTAATGAGGAAGATTAAAGAAAATGGGAATAAATTGGACGCTTATTCTTAGAATCAAAAAAAGCCTATCGAAATTCCTGATACACATCATGAAAAAAGGTGAGGATTGATAACAGACATATTGATGGCAAGTGAGACAGGGGAAAGTAGATAGTAACCTATATAACGTGCTTGTCTATACAGATGGCAGAACTGGTACTTGGGGGGGGATACTGAACAAAATATTCTTTAGAACTACAAAGGATAGGAAGTTGGGGAGAATCATAATTGCCTACGTTAGAATGACAATGAATCTAGTAATTTAAATTATTATTATTATTATTTTTTTTTTTTTTTGCAATGACAGGTTTTATCTAAGGCATGGAAAATTGAAAATACGTTTTTGCTTTAATTTATATTTAGGATGTTTAGATATTGAATCGAAACCTTACGCTATCAAATTCACTTCAGACAAAATTGTCTATCGATTGTGGATCGATGTAATTCGATTTGATTACCCAACAATTCATCAAGGAATAACATCAAAGACGGGTGATTATGAATATATTAATCGCTGTCTTTCACAGCATGGATTAATAATTATGTATGAGTAGTGATTTAATTTTGGCACAGGTAGACATACTTTGAGTACCCAGTGAGGATTGACAACATTGTTCAATAATAATGATAGTCCACCACGTTAGGACAGTGACCATACTTAAACGCATTTTTTTATTTAATAAATCTAGTTTTGTTTGGCACAAGATTAGATATGCTATGAGAATCGAAATACCTAACAAGTTTTAATGTTAAAAATGAGTAGCTCACTCACAATTTCTATGCATATTATGCCACACCAAGCGTTCAAGCAAAGCCACGCTTAGCTTAGTTTAACATCTGTCCCTATTTCTGAGATGAGGTGTTGAAACTATTTATACTATTGACATCATTCACGACGTTTCGGCTGTTGTACTCTCCGGTCATCTTCAGGTGATATACGTTAGAATTTCGAACTTCCCTTTAATCTTTAATTAGTCCATGGGGTATATTATTCTAATTCACCCGTGAATTCTCTTTAGTAACTCAACTCTTATTTCTTTTGTTCCCATTGCTGTGGTATTAAACTAACACCGTTTGGGTCAATTCACTTTTTGGATTACTTCGACCAACGCTTTTATCCACGGGGCTATTTGTCCCAGGAGTCATCAGTGAGTGATTTTTGGTGACTTATACAACTAATGTCCCAGTAACTACTTTTACCTGAGTTGATAATACAGTATTTGTTATTGTTTTTCTCAGGTTCTCTATATTGCTGGTTCCCATATTGTATTCATGT